AGCATGGACATTTTAATGATGTTAATTCTTCCTATCCATGAATACTGTATATGCTTTCACTTATTTGTATTTTCCTCAATTTCTTTCTCCAGTGTCTTATAATTTGCTGAGCCAATTATAAATTCTTGGTTAATTTTATTCCCAGGTATATTGTTCTTTTTGAAGCAATTCACAAAACTGGTGAATGGGATGGCTTTCTTGATATAATTTCAATCTTCTTAAATTTATTGAGACTTGTTTTGTGTCCTAACATGTGGTCCATTCTAGAAAATATTCCACATGCACTTGAAAAGACTATATATTCTTCTGCTTTGGGGTGAAATACTCTGAAGATACCAATGAAATCCATCTGATCTAGTGTGTCATTTAAAGCTGCCATCTCCTATTGATTTTCTGTGTGGAAGATCTATCCACTGATGTCAATGGGCTGTTACAATCCGCTGTTATATCCCTATTACTATCAATCTCTCCATTTATTTCCAAAAAGATTTACTACACATCTTTAGTTGCTCCTATGTTGGGTGCATAAATGTTTACAAAGGTTATATCCTCTTGTTGGGCTGTTCCCTTTATCATTATGTGGCATCCTCCTTTGTCTCTTACTGTAGCCTTCATTTTAAAGTCTATTCTGTCAGATATAAATATCACTACTCCTCTTTTCTTTTCCTCTCCATTTGTATCAAATATCTTTTACCAGTGATTTACTTTCAGTCTGTGTGTTTCATTCTGAGGTTGGCCTCTTGAAGACAGCATATACAAGGTCTGTCCAGAAAAAGTCCATCCATTGATAATATAATGAGAATGGTTTGTGCAACATCGACATAACCCGGCAGCTAAGGAGAGTGGACTGAAATGTGCATGTGTGAACAATGATGACCTCACTGTACTAGTCATTGGGGGTGGTAGACGCCATTGAGTTAGCATGTGTACACAAGGCTGTCACATTAAAAATGACTGAGCAAGTAGAGCAATGAATCTGAATCAAATTCTGCATTAAGCTTAAACATCCCTGTGTGGATACTATTCAGATGATTCAGAAGCCCACAGCTTTGGGCAACTGGTGACTGGCAGCTTCATCATAACAGCACAGCTGCTCATGAATCACGTCCTGTGTCGAGTTTTTTGGCTAAATGTCAAATTGCCCATGTGACTCATCCCCCTGCAGCCCATCCTGTGACTTCTGCCTTTTCCCAAAACTAAACTCACCTATGAAAGGGAAGAGATAGCCCTAGCTGGCGTAGCTCAGTGGACTGAGCCCAGACTGCGAACCAAAGTGTTCCAAGTTCGATTCCCAGCCAGGGCACATGCCTGGGTTGCAGACCACGACCCCCAGTAACTGCACATTGATGTTTCTCTCTCTCTCTTTCTCCCTCCCTTCCCTCTCTAAAAATAAATAAATAAAATCTTTAAAAAAAAGAAATCTACAAAACAACTACTGTAACTTTAACATGGTAACAGAATATAAGATAAATATACAAAAATCAAGCATATTTGTAAGTACTAGCAAATACTAGAATAGCAAAGGCATTCATGGAAAAAAAGAACAAAATTATACTACCTGACCTCAAGATTTATTACGAAACTATATTAATCATGACTATGTAGTAATGGCCTAAGGATACCCAAATAAATCAATGGAATAGAATAGAGAGCCTTCATGAACAAACTGAACTAACAAATATAATAGAGACAGACTCATAGATAGAGGGCAAGCCGACAGCTCTGGGGTAGGGGGTTAGAGGGATGGAGGGATTGAGCATAAAAGAAAAAGAACTCATGGACATGGACAAAAGTGTTCTGATTGTGGGGGAGAAGGGTGGGTGGAAGTGGAAGAGGGTACAGAGGGATAACTAGTAATGGGAAAAATACAATAAAAAAGAACATTTCAAAAAAAAAAAAGGAATCTAGAATAAGTACATACATTTAAGTCACTTGATTTTTGACAGGGGGCACCAAAGCAACACAGTGGGAAATGGAAAACCTTTCCAGCATATGGTGATGAAACCAGTTGCTCTCCATATGGAAAGAAAAAATTTAATCTGTAATGTAGACTATATAAACTTTAATTTAAAATGGATCTAGACCTAATGTGAAAACAAAAATTAGATAGCTTCGAAAGGAAAACAAAAGATTATTTTCATGACCTAAGGGCAGAGGTAGACAAAGTTTTTCTAGACAAAACACACAAAGCAGAAACCATAAAATAAAAGCATATATTTTACAAAAGACCTGTATACAGAACATGTAAAGAAGTCTTACATGTTGACTAATGAAAAAAACAACCCCTGGCTGGTGTGGCTCAGTGGATTGGGCACCAGCCTGTGAAACAAAAGGTCACCAGTTCAGTGCCTAGTCAGGGCATATGTCTGGGTTGCAGGCCAGGTCCCCAGATGGGGGCGTGCAAGGGGCAACAAATTGATGTTTCTCTCCCTCTCTTTCTCCCTCCCTTCTCCTCTCTCTAAAAGTAAACAAATAAAATCTTAAAAATACCGAACTGGAAAAAAAAGACCAAAAATTTGAATGGTTTATAAAGGAAAATATAATGCAAAAAAATACATGAAAAAGTACTCAGTATCAATAGTCATGAGGGAAATGGGAATTAAAACTACAATTAAATATCACTAGTTACAGACATCATGACTAAAGTTAAAACGACAACACTAAACTGGAGAATGAGGATCAACTGGTACTCTCACACTTTGTTAGTGGGAGTATAAAACAGTAAGTACAACACTTTGGCAAACAAATCTATGTGATATGCAAAAACATGGATGAATCTCAAAAACACTATGCTAAATTGACAGACGCTTTACACAAAAAAGTATGTATTATATATTTCCATTTATATGAAGTCTTAGATGAGGCAAAACTAACCTATGTTAAAATAATCAGAACAATCGTTGTCTCCAGAAATAAGTGGAGGTGGGACTGACTGAGAATGAGTATGAAGTAACACTCAAGGATGAAGATGCTATTGTATATCTTAAGAGAGGTATAGGCATTTGCCAAACCACACAAAACTGTACACTTGAGATTTATGCCTATGACTAAAGGTAAATTTTATTTCAAAATATAAACACATATATATTTAATTTATGACTGAATGTTGAAATGTTTAGGAAGTAAAGGTTACTGATGCCTAAAACTTCTTCTGAAATATATTTAAAAAGTTGACTGATAAATAAGTGTATAGGGAGATATGCATTTGATAAACCAAACTTACTTTACTGTAAGTTTGAAAATTTTTTTAAAATGCTGGGGCAGGGAAGAATGAGGAAATGGAAAAAAAAGACCAAAAATTTGAATGGTTTATAAAGGAAAAGGACCTTTATGTATTAACATGAAGAGATCACCAAGATATAGAGCTATACGTTTCATATATTTCACAATTTATAAAAAACACAACATATATCCTTCTAAATTATGTCAATTACTAAAACACTATATGACCTAGGTATCATCCACTGTAATATCACTCAAATAACTTATACAGCTAAAAGAAAAAAAAACAAAACAAAAAACACCTAAAGGTGATTAAATTAAACTTTAAAGATGATTAAAGATTAAAGATTAAAATTAAATTAAAAAACCCTAAACTTTTCAACCTAAGAAATGCTATTTTTTTTAAGGTTTTATTTATTTATTTTTAGAGAGGGAAGGGAGGGAGAAAGAGAGAGAGAAACATCAATGTGCGGTTGCTGGGGGCCGTGGCCTGCAACCCAAGCATGTGCCCTGGCTGGGAATCGAACTTGCGACACTTTGGTTCGCAGCCCGTGCTCAATCCACTGAGCTACGCCAGCCAGGGTGAAATGCTATTTTTTTTAAGCCTTACCCAAGGATACTTTTTCATTGCTTTTTCAGAGACAGGAAGTGATAAACAGAGAATGACTGACACAAATGTGAGAAAGAGACATCAACTGGTTGCCTCCCTTATGTATCCCAACCTGGCACTGAACCTACAACCCAGGTATGTACCTGACTGGAAATTGAACACATGACTCTCTGGTGCATGGGACAATACGCCAACCAACTGAGCCACCCAGCCAGGGCTAGAAAAACTTTTTTAGATATTTCTAAAATATTTTAGCATTAGGTGTAAATTTTGTTTAAAAATCACAATTCTCAGCTAGGAATTACATAAAAATATTTCCAATTAACCTGTAGTGTTATTTAGCACTACTGTGAAGATACTATTAATACCTTAGATTTATTTCTATTTCATTAAACTATGATTTTCGTATTTCCTATAATAGTACTGAGCATAAATAAACTCATCTTACCAATGACAATCAATTTTTTTAAATGTTAAATAAAAATTTACATTAAAATTGATTTCTATATTTTATCCTTATTGTGAATTGAGTCATATTCTATGCTTTTGTAGGTATAAAATAACTTTAGTGACTAATAAGAAAGAAAAATAATCAAATAGGGATTCTAAAAGGAAAAGAATTAAACATTTCCCACTTGAGTACTAGAAATATTAGGGGTAATGCTTTGTAAAGCAGGTGACTGTCTAACCACTATCCTGTACAACTGAAACTAATACAAAATACTGAATGTAAACTGTAATTGAAAAATAAAATAAGCCTTGGCTGGGTGGTTCAGTTGGATGGAATATCGTCCCATACACTAAAAGGCTGCAGGTTTGATCCCTGGTCAGGGTATGTACAGCAGGCAATTGATTGATTTTTCTCTCATATCAATGTTTTTCTCTCTATCTCTCAAATCAATAAATTATATATCTTTTCATGAGGATTTAAAAAAAAAGAAAAAAATAAAAACAAGAACACATTTTTTCTACCTAAAAAGTAAGTTTTTTATCACAAGAAATAATATAAAATTGAAAACTAAGACAGTTTCTTATAATCAAAGGCCGCAAAAATCATAAAAGCAAAAAACCTAATAGGATTAGAAAATAGAGCACTTTGAGTTCCCAATAATATATATGACACACCATAAAATTTAAGAATTTTAAACATGATTTTTTAAAAACTTACCCTTTCTGCTTCAAAGGTAATTCAAGTTTAAATATGGTAGCATCATTAACAACTGCTTTATATGCCTGCAAATAAAATAAAATAAAATATAAACATTCTTTTTGATATTTAAAATACAGTTCAATTCCAAAAGTACATAAAAATATACATTATTTTTTATTTTTAATGGTATATCTGGCCTGATAGGACATTTCAAGTCAATGACTTCGGCATCCTTTTTGTTATTTTATGGTTATCATTATTTTCAAGTAGGATCTTAAAGCTACCTGACAGCCACATCATTTTCTCTTGTCCACACGTTATCCTGGGTAACATTTTCATACTCTCGTTTCTCTCTCCAAACCTCCAACAATTCTTCCTCCATATACACTCTTGGCTGATAGTGTAGCCTCTTATTTCACTAAAGAAGCTTTAATAATCAGAATTCCCTCTTATTTCTCTTGCATCAATAAATTTTTCCTTCTCCACTGGTTCTATAGCCTCGACATACAAACATATTGTCATTTTTTTAAATCTTCAAAGTCCTCTTTTGGCTTTGTCCACCTTTAACTACTGCCCTATTTCTCTCTTTAAGCTAAACTGCTGGAGGAACTATCTAACTCCCTTTCTCTAAATTCTTTACTACCATTCTTATTAGAAAACATTCTAACCAGGCTTTCACACCACTACTCTGCCCTAATGGTATTTTCTCATTTTATTTGGACCTTCAGGAACATTTTTAAACAGCAGCTCATGCCTTCTTCCTCAAAGTGCTTTTTCCACTTGTGTTCTAGCACAACACACTCTTCTGGTCATCCCACTCATTGTCCTGTCACCTCATGAAAAACGGTTTCTCATCTTTCTGGTAACTAAATTTACAAGGCACCAGGTCAGTCCTTGGATCTCGTTTCTATCCTCACTCATTTTGTTGGTATCAAAGTCAGTGTCAGTTCTTTAAAAACTATCTGCATGCTGAAGCTCCCAAATTTATTTTTGCCAGGTCCATTCCCTCCCTTAAACTCCAGACTTGACATTGCCAAAAGGGTGTTTGATAAACATTTCAAAGTTAACTTGTTAGGAACTGAGTTCCTAACCTCTCTGCAACCATCTCTCCCAAACCTGCTTCTTCCAAAGTCTTCCCCATCTCAGCAAAAATATGCTTTTAATTGATCACAACAAAAATCTGAGTGCCATTCTGGAGTAATCTCTTCCTATCACATTCCACATCTGATTCATTACCAAATCTTGTGTAGTCTGTTTTTGTAATGCAATCAGAATTAAACCAATTTTGACTACCTCTACCCACTATTTTTCTGGGCCAAGCATCCATCATTACTTAACTGAATTACTTAAACAGGTTCTTAACTGATATTCTTGCTTCTTCTCTTGCCCCCCTTTAGTCTATCTTTCCTTTTTTACAGCAGTCAGGTGATTCTGTTAAAATGTTAAGTCAGGTCCTGTCATTCTGTTTCAAAGCTTATTATGACATTCCAAACCCTACTGAGAGTAAAAACCATGGCTCACAGAGTCTTACATGACCCGGCTTCCTGTCACCTCTTGACTTTATTTTCTACTGTTATCTCTACCACTCATTCAATCCACTCTGGTCAAAATGACCTCTTTTTTCTATGTTCCTAAAACATCACTGATGTATTCCTGCCTTACAGCCTCAGCAGCCTGCTGTCCCCTCCAGCTGGAACACTCTCCCCTCAGATAGCCACATGACTTATTCCTAATCACCTGCAATCCTGATTCAAACGTCACCTCAAAGAAGCCTTTGCAGGTCATTTAATTTAATATTTAAAAAATCTCATTACTGTGATACTCCCTTAACCTCTTTCCTTCTCTATCTATCTATCTCTAACTCTATCTATCTATCCACCTTTAAAAAAACGGATGAAAACAAAAGCCTACCAGAGGAAGTTGATGTCTTTTTAGAGTCACGGGAAAGTAAGCTAACTTGGAAAGTAAAGAAAGGTAATTGAAGAGGAGAAAAAAAACAATGGTAATTTCTAGTAATAGGTTAGTGATGTTTAAAAAGACACAACTGTAAGGACAATACTAAGTTTTACAACATTATCCTCTTCTAGTGAGGATAGAAAAAAAGGTGTGGGAAGCAAGAATAATGTGACACAACTCTCACAGAAGCCCAATGAAAGGACAGAAGAATCAAATCTACTTGGGATAAGATGGGGAAAGTATGGTATTAAGGAAGTTTCAGATGTATACTTTCAGCTGGGTCATAAAATAAATATAAGTAGGAATTCAATAATCAGTAATATTAAAAAACAAAAACATTATTTGAAAAATGAAAAAGAGCAACTTTCTGGCTAAATTCTAGTTCACAAGTGTACCCAATGCTTATAAAAACATACAATAAGATAAATGTATTTAATATGATAGCCCTTGACTGATTAAAAAAATCACTGTTCCTAGGTTTTTAGTTTGTAATTTAATAGCATATTGATGCAAGTTTCTTTTTTATCATTTTTAATTGTTATGCTATTTCAGCTATTCCAATTCCCTCAGCCCTCTTCCACCTATCCCATCCAAGAAAATTTCTTATTAAAATTAAATCATGATATTATACACAAAGTATAAAATGCATATCCTTTGTTTTCCATTAACAAAATCATGCTATATCCTTTTCTGCATTTTGCTTTTATACAGTAAACAATTTATCTGTCCAAATCTAAAAAAAGTAAATAATAATAGTACTGTTAATATAAGAAAAAATATACCTTATCTCTTGCAGTAAGAAATCGTGGATCATCTTGAAAAGCTTCTTTGACAAGTTTACTAAATCTATTAAATAGTGTAAGTAACTGCTCAACATATTTCTCAGAGTCCTAAAAAGAAAATGTTTTATATTTGAGTTTCTTAAAAAAGAAAATATAAACATAATTTTAATAAAATACTAGAGCATTAAAATTTAGGAATTTGTGTGAAAAACTGCTTCCTTAAAATTAAAAGATGTTCCAATATCACTGTTTTTCTATCAATTACTATTTTTAATACCCAAACTTCCATTTAAAAAATAAACCTGATTTATATCTATCATTACCATTGAGGAAAACTTACAGTAGTAATAGTTTCAGCAGCTGCAACCATATCTGCAAGGCCAGCACTAATGATATGTTCCTCCAAGTCTTTCAACATTGGCTCTATCCCATTAGGAACTTTGTCCATCAATGAAAACATTAAGTGTAATTCTGAAAGGATAGAACATACCTATGTAATCACTTCAACCAATAGACTATATTTTCTCTTTGATTTGTATCATGGATCTAGAATGCCTATGATAATAAGAGTTTGGAGAAATACTAGTTTGAAGTTGACAGTATCTTGTGGGTATAACTAGTTCAGGAGTTGTTATAGGAAGTACTATAACTTCCTGATCTACCTTGTAAGTCTAATAAAAATTATTTTTAAAAGAAACTCTAATTAAAAGTGATCACACAGAGCGAGGCAAGAGGGGAAGATGGGGGACATCTGTAATAGTGTCAACAATAAAAAAATGTTTTTAAAAATCATCACATACTGCAAAACCCAACTCTTTTAAAAGGTGAGTCACATAGAACACTTCAAAAATTTACATGAAATCATAAATGACCCCAAATAGCTGCTGCAATTTTGAGAAAGAAGAACAAAGTAGGAGGGATCACAATATCTGATACCAAACTATATTACAAGGCCACTGTAATCAAAACAGCTTGGTACTGGCATAAGAACAAGCACATAAGACCAATGGAATAGAAGAGAGAGCCAAAAAATAAACCCAAGTCTCTATGGTCAATTAATATTTGACAAAGAGGGCAGCAGGATAAAATGGAGTAAAAATAGCCTCTTCAACAAATGGTGCTGGGAGAGCTGGACAGCCACGTGCAAAAAAAAGAAACTCGAGCACCAACTTATACCATACACAAAAATAAATTCAAGGTGAATAAAAGATTTAAATATAAGTTGTGACACCATTAAAGTCCTAGAGGAGAACGTAGGCAGGAGAATCTCAGATATTCCATCCAGCAATATTTTCACTGATATGTCCCCTAGAGCAAAGGACATAAAGGAAAGAATAAACAAATGGGATCTCACCAAAATGAAAAGCTTCTGCACAGCTAAAGAAAACAGTATCAAAATAAAAAGAGAACCAACTGTATGGGAAAACATATCTGCCAATGATACCTCAGACAAGGGCTTGATCTCCCAAATATATAAAGAACTCACATGAAACCACTCTAAGAAAACAAGCAACCCAATTAAAAAATGGGCAAAGGACTTGAACAGACACTTCTCCAAGGAGGACATACAGAGGGCCCAGAGACATATGAAAAGATGCTCAGCATCACTAGCCATCAGAGAGATGCAAATTAAAACCACAATGAGATACTACTTCACACTGGTCAGAATGGCCATCATAAACAAAGTAACAAACAACAAACGTTGGAGAGGTTATGGAGAAAAGGGAACACTAGGGCACTGTCCGTGGGATTGCAGACTGGTGCAACCAGTATGGAAAACAGTATGGAATTTTCTCAGGAAACTAAAAATGGATCTGCCTTTTGACCCAGCAATTTCACTGCTAGGATTATATCCTAAGAACCCTGAAACACCAATCCAAAAGAACCCATGCACCCCAACGTTCATAGCAGCACAATTTACAATAGCCAAGTGTTAGAAGCAACCTAGGTGCCCATCAGTAAATGAATGGATAAAAAACTACGGTACATTTACACAATGGAATTCCACGCAGCAGAAAGAAAGAAGGAGCTCCTACCCTTTGTGACAGCATGGATGGAACTGGAAAGCATTATGCTAAGGGAAATAAGCCAGGCAATGAAAGACAAATACCATATCTCACCATTAACAGGAACCTAATCAACAAAACAAACAAGCAAAATATAACCACAGACACTGAAATCAAGAATAGGCTGACAGTGACCCGAGGGAACAACAGAGGGAATTTCAGGGGAAAAGGGGAAGGGTTTGCAGGAACAAGTATAAAGGACACATGGACAATAATGGGGGGGTGGAAATGGGAGGGAGGTGGCAAGGGTTGGGGGTAAAAGGCAGAAAACTGTACTTGAACAACAATTAAAATAAAAAATAAAAAGGTGAGTAGTGTGACTGTCAACACATGGAATATTTTTTATTTTAAGAAGTAAAAAATTTATACAGAACATTAGTACGTTTTATGAGGTAGATAAAATATGGAATACACAACAATATCAATAAGGAGCAAAAAAAATCATGTCATCAGATTATTGAGAGTAATGACTATAAAATAAAGGTATATTAGACATAATGTAAAACTGTATTTATATAGAATTTTTCAGCATTCAAAAGTATTTTCGCATGTTATACCACTTGACCTTCACAAAAATCCTACCTCACAAAACTGGTTATTACTAAGTAAATCCTTTGGGAGGGATTCCAAAATGGATCAGATGTATCTCTACTTAGCCTGGAGGCATACAGAAATTCAAATATTTCATTTATTCCAATGAGCAGTCTTGCTTTTCACTACAAAACTGCTTCTAAAAAGTGTATGAACTTACTGAATTGAGATACATATTTTGAATGCAACTAGAAATTAAATGGGACCTTACAACTATACACAATAAAACTGGGAAAGGAATACATCAAAATATCACACATGGTTATCTCTGGGTAGTAGGGATATGGACTATTTTTTTTTATATTCTTTTTGGTTATAATATATTTGCCACCCCTTAAATATACCTTTACTAAGAAAACATTTAAGTGATTTAAAAAACACTTCTATAATCTTAAATTATAACATATTTTGGGGGTCAAGGATAAAGATTAACATGGAGAGTTTTATGACTTTCTAAAAAAACCATAAGGTCTGGCTGGCGTAGCTCAGTGGATTGGGCGCGGGCTGGGAACTAAAGTGTCCCAGGTTCTTTTCCCAGCCAGGGTACATTCCTGGGTTGCAGGCCATGACCCCCAGCAACCGCACATTGATGTTTCTCTCTCTCTCCCCCTTCCCTCTCTAAAAATAAATAAATAAAATCTTTAAAAAATAAAAAATAAAAAATCCATAAGGTTCCATAAACAAGTCAAATACCCAGTTCTATCCTATACCATATGTTTACCATTTAAATTAGCCTTTAAATGAAGAGTCCTACTTTGGAGAACATATTGAAATACACATATGCATTCGTACACATAATGCTACTACTAAGGGGGGTTATAAAAATGTAAGTTTAAAACCTTCTTACAGTGCTTCTAACTATGCTAAATATTTTATCCTTTTCTTTAAACACAGTTTAACAAATATACTTATGTTAAAAGAATGATCTAAGAGCAATTTATTAAAAGAGATCTGCCTCAAAAATACCCTCTTAAAAGATTATGAGAACTTTAAGTGATATTTTACCTACTTTCAGTTTCATTTCGCTTGATCATGCCTTGACACTCTGCTAAGATAGTCTCTTTAAAGGATGTCACCAGGGCATTTACACAGCATTCCATCAGCTGAAAAATTAGTTAAGGCTATTATAAGTACAAATTTATTCCACTTCATTTTGCTTTATAGCTCCATAAGACTATATTTTTCAATAACAGCAAAAGTTAAGCATACTAAAAGAAGATTTTACTTACCTTTATCACAATATAGTTCCCATTAAGGAACTTAGGTTCTCTTTAGAAATTTTAACAAAAGTCTCCAAAGGGGGGAGAGAAAAAAATAACACTCATACAAAACAAAATGAAAAAATAAACTTTTGCTTAAGAAGACAAACACTTCTGAAGAAAACACATGTTGGAATGAGATTTTCAAATTCTAAACATATCCATACATTCATTCAATAAACCATCATTGGATGCCTACTATGTATGGGCACCAAAGAAGTGTTTAGGAGACTAAGATATTTGGGGGAGATCACTAATTAAGGGTGAGGAGGAAGTCAAACATAGATTAATAAATATGACTCAGTTAATTGGCGAAACACCCTGCCCCCCAAAACAAACAGAAGCAATTAAAGGAACTATATACTTTTTTCTGAGGAAGTTAAAAACATCTCATCCATAACAGGAAGTTTAAATTGAATCTTGAAAAAATAAGTACAAGTCCAAAGTGAACGGAGTATTCTGGGAATAATAAGCTAAATGTGGTAGGGACAAGACAGACAGTGGAAGAGAAAGCAATAAAGGTAGGCTGGAGCCAGATCATGAATGAAAAAAAATCTGTGGTTTGGGATTTTATTCTATAGGTAGAGGAAAAAGAATCGAAGGTTTTAAACAGAGGACACACATAACAAGCTTGTATTTCCCCCAAGTCATTTTGAAAAGATCAGCAGCAAGGTGGGTGATACTGAGTGGTAGGCAGGAGGGGGACTGGCAAACAAGGCTGTTGAAATATTTCAAGTAAGATAGATGGCAAGGGTTTAGTGTTTCATATGGCCCTCAGGACTTGTGCCATATAATTATTTATTCTTTTTGCAATTATCATATAAAATAAGTGGATTGTTGGTACTAAAGCAAGGGATACTAAGGCTGATATATCTCTTCTGAAAAACAGATCATTTATCTATATTAAGAAAAGAAATTATGATTGCCTTAAAAGTTCTTTGTTAAAAATTCCTCTTGGGATTAACATAATGTTGACAATTATAGAAGTTTTATTTAGGCAATAAAGATTCATTATACTATTCTTTCTTTCTACTTGTAAATATAGTTTAACATTTCCATAATAAAAAGCTTTTTCAAGTCCCTCTTTGAGAATTACACTAAAATCTATGTATTTCAATTTGTATCCTATGAAAAACAATATACATACAAAGTGGCTGAGAAATTTCTGTCCCACCAACTGCTGAGTAACCTCATTTTATACCATTCTATATGTGGAAAATACACAACTAATTCCTACCTTCAGCAGCAAAAACAGACTGAGAATAGGTAAATTAACTATATATAACTAATGGAAAAGAAAGGGAAAATGCAATTGAAATAAGCTCCCAGCCTGTCACTTTATCTGTTTTCTATCTCATTAAAAATTTCTACACTTGAAGGACATACATACGGCCCACAGACATATGGAAAGATGCTCAGCATCACTAGCTATCAGAGATGTATACTAAAACCACAATGAGATACCACTTCATACCTGTCAGATGTCCATCATTAACAAATCAACAAACAACAAGTGCTGGCCAGGTTGTAGAGAAAAGGAAACCCTAGTGCACTGTTGGTGGGAATGAAGACTGATGCAGCCACTGTGGAAAACACTATGGAATTTCCTCAAAAAATTAAAAATGGAGCTGCTTTTTGACCTAGCAATACCACTGCTGGTAATATACCCTAAGGATCCTGAAGCACCAATTCAAAAGAACCTATGTACCCCAATGTTCATAGCAGGACCATTTCTAATAGCCAAGTGCTGGAAACAGCCTAAGTGCCCATCAGTAAATGAGTGGATCAAAAAACTGGTACATTTACACAATGGAACACTACACAGCAAAAAGAAAGAAGGAATTCCTACCTTTTGCAACAGCATGGTTGGAACTGGAGACTATTATGCTAAGTGAAATAAACCAGTCGGTGAAAGACAAATACCATATGATCTCACTTATAAGAGGAATCTAAGGAACAAAATAAACTAACTAGCAAAACAGAAGCAGAGACATGGAAACATAGAACAGATTGACAGCTGCCAAAGTGGAGCCCCCCTTTGGGGGGAAATAGAAATAATGGTGGAAAGAAGGGGAAGGGATCAGTCAAAGAACACGTATGAATGACCCATGGACGTGGACAACAGTGTGGGGATTGACTGTGGGAGCGGGGAGTGGGCAGGGTGGAAGAGGGAAAAATTGGGACAACTATAACAGAGTAACAATAATAAAAAAAAGAAGAAAAAGGAAATTACAGAAAAAATTTTTTACACTTCAACATATTCCAGTTCAGTAACAGTCCAAATTTTGCCAATTCCAAAAATCTAGACCAGTGTTTTTGAAACTATTTGTTATACAATCAGTTTTAATGGCTATGACCATTTAAAAAAAAAATAGTACAATAATGAACAAAAAGAGTGCATCACAAATAATAGTATTATTTCATAAAACTTTTGTTTCAAATATTTGCAAATGAATATAATACACAATATTAAACATATTATTGTGTGTTAGGATGAGGATTAAAAGGACAGGCTAACCTGACAAAAAAACTGAAATGCTAAATTGACAAAATAATTGAAGTAAACAGAGCAGAATCTGCTTAGCTGTTTAGATGAAAAAAACTTAGGGAAATAAAAGGTTGATGAAGTAGTTCCTAGGTTGGGAGGTTAAACAAATTATAATAACAAGTATGTTTTAAAAAACACTTACTCTGAACTAAGCATTGTGCTAAATGGTTTACATACATTATCTCATTTAATCCACATGAAATTATGAAGCAGGTATTTAACATATGAAGAAACAAACTTAGACAGGCAAAGTAACTTGTAAATGCTGTACAGTTACTTTATAAGGTCTTGAACTACAGTATGCGGTCATGTATGTGACTCCACAGCCTACATTACAGAGCAAGTATGTACTTAGTAATCACTACATGCTCAGAACTGAGTTAAGTGTTGTGAGGAAGAGAAAAGTATAAAATATGGTGATATATCCCCAATGATTTTACAATCCAGTTGGGATATGTAACTAACTACGTATCTAAAAATGTGTACATACTTCATATATGACAGAGGTATATGAAAAGAAGTTCAGCCTCGCTAACAAAGCAAAGTGGAAATAAATCCATATTACCACACTATAAACTTTATAAGGAAACTGTTCTGTCCATATTACATATTTATTCATGGCCTCACAGAGATTTGGTGCTTGATAAAATAACACAACAAAGCAGTCTACAATATGCTACTAAATCAAGTGGTGGAAACAATAAATAGGTACAGTGGGAAATCAAATAAGACAAAATTTATAAAAGCCAGAGAATTTGGGGTAACTTTATTGCATAATGGACTATAAGGATTCTGAAGGATTTAATAGGCAGGAAAAAGTAAGAAAAGTAGTAAGTAAAATATTAAAGAAAGTTAAATGTTATTCAGAAATGAATTTTAAAAAATGAACAGAATGAGGTATATTAATGAGGAAATACTCTTTATTGATGTAGAAGAACTCTTGCAGGACACTATTAAGTTAGAAAAATAAGTTAGGGCCAATTATGAAGGGTCCTGAAAATCAGAGATAGAAAATGACACTATGGTTTTTGAATGAAGAAGTAATGGAAGTAATGCTTATAAAAGGTTAGCTTGAACACACAAAAGAAGAAATACAAATGGTCCATAATATGAATAAAGGTGTCCAAGCCTTATTAATAATTTTCCACATGGACATAAAAAATCTATGATACTAGGAGATTGGAAAAATTAATACATTGACAAAACTCAGATCAACAAAGATAAACAGGCACACTGTTGATGGGAGTAAAAACTACTATAACATTTCTGAAGATCAGTTTGGTATTATGTAGCAATTTGTAAAAGGCGCATACTCTTTGCTTTGGCCATCTCTTTTCTAGGAAATTTTGTTCTAAAAGAATGCCACATGTGAGAAAGATTATGCATAAAGATGTTAAAAAGATACAGGAATATAAGGACATTCCAGGAAGTATTATTTGTAAAAAATAAACTATAATAATGAGTAAGAATTAACATGTCTATCATTAGAGGACTGGTTAGTTATCAATATATTATAGTACATATATGATAAAATATATACAGTTATTAAAAATAATGTAATACAGAAGGGTTTAGAGTTAAAATGCATGATGTCATAAATTTCTTTTAAAATGCTAGAAGAAAGAAAGAGAACAGAAGGAAGAGAAGGGGAAAAAGAGGGATCAACTGAGCCAATATGATCAAAATGATGATCACTGCTAAATCTGAGGGATGAGGGTGGGTTGGGTTCATTTGACTATTTTCTCAAATATAAATATTTGAAAACTTTCATAACAAAGCTTTTTTTAAAAAAAGAGAGAGTAATTATGGTATAGATCTCTGTGTGTTGAAAAATCCTTTAGATAACTTTTTTTTTTAGTTTTGTTTATTTTCAGAGAGAGGGGAAAAGAGACAGAAAGAGAGGGAGAGAAACATCGATGTGTGGTTGCCTCTCACCCTCCCTCAACCTGGGACCTAGCTCACAACCCAGGCATGTGTCCTGACAGAGAAATGAACAGGTGACCTTTTAGATGCTCAATCCACTGAGACACACTGCCAGGGCTAGAAAACTATTTTATGTAGGCAAAAAGAAGAAAAGGAGGTTGCTTTACAGAGTTCTCTCCTTATTTTAAATGAGTCTTATCTTAACAAATGGGTCAGTTCTTAGAGGGCAGAGACCATGTTATTCCTCTTTTGTATTACTTCCCCATCATTTACCAAAGTACTATATACAGTTAACCCTAAACATATTCTTGTTATTTGAAAAATACATCTTGAATGGAAAGGATAGCGATAAACCAGCTCTCTCACCTTGTAT